AACAATAAAAATAATAAAGAGACGATATCACCCAAAACGAAGAATTAGGGTTGAAATCTTGAAATTTGAAGTGAAAACCCTTGTTCTCGCCCTATTCCTTGCTCTTCAATGGTGTTTTTCTCTCTAAGAATGTGTTCCCCTCATTTTTGGATGTAATTAGGATCATAAAGAAGCCCTAGATGCGTTGCCATAAATGTTTGATTCAAATAAGGAAACCAAAAATTTCGCACCGGATTTGTTCCATGTGATCACATGGTTATATGCCATGAAATCGCATGGAACAACTCAAATAGTCCAAAAAATTCCTTGATTCAGTCTGGGCGACCGCATGGACTTTATACCATGCGATCGCTTAATTTTCACTTTTTCCCTGCCGGACAGCTTTCGATATGATCATATCTTTCTCTCCCAATGTTCAATTGAGATGATTCAAAATCCGTTAGAAACCTTACTTAAAGGGATACAAATCTTCCAGAAATATCAATCTTCAAATTCGAATGTCTTCTATGTCAAAAACTGTAAAGATCTCACCAAGTCCCTTTAATTAGGGTTTTAAGAAAAAGCAAAACAGCTCAAGTTTGCAGTATCAGTATCAAGAACGAGCACTACTCAGTTAAGAGCTCCTTCCAAACGCTCTGATACCACTGTTGGGAGGAGATCAACAGATTAGCTCGAGATCAAACAAATAAATGTAAGCCAAAAATAACAACAATCAGAAACTGAAAGCCTAAGAACATTAAACAGCAAACTCGAACAAGAAATCAGCTTAAGAAATTACTGAAAAACGATGAACAGAAACTTATCTGCATTATAAAGGCCTACAGGCTAAAGTTTCGTACAATCCTTGCTTTAATCACACAAGAATGAACAGTCGCCAATCCATTTAAATGGGTTACGCAATAGTCACCAATCCAATGACATTGGAGGCGACATGTGGTGACTCCATAGGCGTTCATTTCATCAGGTAAGTGAGAAATGCGATTTCATCTTCAAAGTACACGTTTTCTAGCACCAAACAGAATAAACAAGTAACTGGGCCTCCAAAGATTTCCAGCTGGGCTGACTCATTTATCCCATTGGGTATTAGCA